GATAACATATCATCTGTAACTCCAATAGACTCTGGCGCTAGGGGGTAATCATTGTGATGGTCATGGAGTTCCTTTGGATAGTCCAAATCCACTTCCAAAATGTAGCCTTCTTGAGCATTATCAAGGACCTGCGTCACATCAGGAAAGTCTTCAGTATGGACCCATTCAAACCCAGAAACTGGCAGAGATTGTGACATAGCCCATCCATACAAATTGTTGGCGTCTAGGTACAGGATATGGTTGTTAGGCTGTTCAGGATTGTAACCAGGGACATTGGGATGGTTAGCTTTTGCATACCGATGACTGATCATGGAAATACCACCTCTCAAGCCTTGCTCCACAAAGAGATGTTGGTCAATATCTGTCAGTAATTCTAGTTGGACTCCTGTCATTTTAAGAGCAGCAAGCCAGGCAAGACCGGGAGAGGTGTAGAAATGGGCGGGGTCTAAACCATAGGCATTCAAACAGAGGTTTCTAAAATTTTCAAAAACATCTGCTAGAGCTAACACATCTGTCAAGACATAGAGGTCATGATACTGCCCGAGGTTTTGAAGGCCAAAGGCATCCCATACTGCTTGTGCATGATTATAATCTTCTATGGAGACATCTTATCCAGAAAGGGAGCTATAGAATGCTTCTTTAGGGGGTAAAGTGGTCTCTGAAAATCTCTGTTCAGAGTCAAAGTATTCATAAGGGTATACTTGTTTTCTCAAGAGCAAATGTAGTCTCTCTGGATCAAACTGTTGAGCCATGTGATTGAATTTAGCAGGTCCTTCCTTGGCCAGGTTTTTCACTAACGTCTCCAGGGAGGAATTCATAAACTGATAGGAGTCAATGAAATCCATACACCCTAGGGAGAAGGAGATGTATTTTTCCATGTTGTTGGGAATACAATTGATATCTTTGTTTTGGATTTTCCCGATGGCCTGCATGATGAGATGGCCATCATAACCCCGAAGGTTATGGAAGTCCACGGGAATCCTTCCCGTAAATTTGTAATGCTGGTTACAAAGACTATGGGCAGCTCCCCGAAATTTTCCTGTCACGTGGCAGTGGTCTCGAACCGGTTTTTCAGAGCCCAAAGGTTTTTGACAGATGTGACAATGGGTAGCTTTCTTGAAGTTCTGCCAATCACATCCAGTCATGTGAAGAGTCTCACCTTGCTTGAATTTCTGAACTATATCCTCCTGTTCTTGGACCATATAGTCTACAAATTTTTCTGCTGCATCTAGACCTCTGTGTATAACAGGTGGTTTGGAGTGGTCAGTTGTGAGACCCACTACTTTGTAAGCAAAACCACATGCAAGATGCTTGGTCAGCTTTTCAGTAGACGATAAGTTTGGATCTTGAGCACAGCTGGAGATGGGGACTTGGAGAGACTCAAAGTCAGCAAAAAGAATGTAGGGTGCCTTCAGTTGTTTCTTCACATGTTTTAACTGATAGGATAGCCATTTGTCTTCCTCTTTTGGAAGCTCAATTCGCTGGGGTCCGTGGGTTTGACAGTAGGGTATGTGACTCTGCAGTAATTTCTCTTTGGTAAATCCATGGAGACAGTATGAGCAGTAATGCTGTTTTCCATTGTATTTTGTTCTGCCTGCTAACAGACGACTCATGTTCTTGATCCAGCAGTAATGGGTCTTCTTTCCTTTAGATATCAAAAGTAGGTTGACACATCTCTCATGTTGTTGCTTGGAGATGTGGAGGGGGAACACCTGTCCTTTCTCATAGCCAAACACATTGATAGAAATCTCGTTTTGAGACTCAAATTTGGGAATATCTCCTAGTTTAACTGGGAAGTTGATCCCTTTGAAATTCAAGTCCCCACCATATGGTTTGTACTTGGCTATGCGTTCAGCATGATTCTGTACATTGTGTAAGGCAGCCAAAACCGACCACAGGAAGCATTTCTTATCTCTGTTCTTCACATTGATGATGGCATATTTAGACCTCAGTTTGATGGGGAGAGGAATGTAGCTGGATCCTCTCAAGGGACGATATTTAGCTGTATGGATGGTAAGATCCAAGACCTTATCCACAGTCCAGTTGCTACCCTCTCTCTGATATTCGATGAAGGAGGTATATATCTTCTTAATAGACTCCCTCATCCCCTCCTCAAGATCTTCCCACTTGAGAGCTATCTGACACTTGCCTCTAAAGACAGGCTCAGCTGTGTCAATCATATCACCTCGTCTCCGGGTCATCTTGACTTTGATGGCCAGGTACCACTTTATAGCCCCTTTCTCTGTGATGGCTTTCTTCAAGATGGAGTTTACTTCTTCAAAATGAGACCTTAAAAATTGCATGGGGTCGTATTTTGCCACACCTTCTCCGGGAATAGTATATACTTTCATGGTGCCCTTCAATGCTTCTTGTCTACAAGGATTATCTTGTTGGTGCTGCTCATAATCAACAGCCCCACCCCCTATCTGCACATGCTTAGCAGGTGGGTGCATTGATTTCATATGTCGCTGCCAGTTGTCCTTCCTGGTGAAGTTTAGCTTGCATTGATTGCAGTTATACTCCTGAGGTCTATGGCTGGTGCGCTTATGTCTATTTAAACTTTGGCTATGGGCGAATGTTTTGTCACAGATCTGACAGGAGTACATCTTGTTTGGTGCCATGATATCTAAAACAAATAGAAATAGTATATGAAGTGATATTTTATTTATCATAACAATTAAATATTTTTATTATAATAACTCCTGATCATCCGGTCATCAACATGAATAATATTAGAGGCTGCAAGATTAAATCACTAAACTATATAACAATAGAATTTTTCCATATAATTAATAACATACCAATATGTGTATAATCATTATAGTAACTGTATTAAATTATATACATCTAACATTATACTTAATACTCAAAACCAATGACCACCATATTTATTTTATATCAGACGAGTGCAGATGTCAACATAGATAACCATTTGACTATAATTCTATGAGTCATAAATAATAATGATATATTCTGTGATTTTATTAATTAATAATATACTTATATTTTGAAAGCCTTAATGAGTGAGCATTCCTTTAGGTTATGGTCTCTTATTAAAATATCTATAGCAACATTGATGTTGTCATCAAATGTTTCAGCACTTCATACAAAACACTGACATGTCGATCACGTCCTATAATAGCACCCTTACACACCTAGAGCTGGCTTTGATGTGTCTATTCAAAGATGCATAGCGAACATTGAAGGCCAGGTTCTGCATCTTAGAACGGGGCTACTCTACCATTTCCATGACTGACATGTCTCGAGGTGTCCTAGACTGACCTCTGTATGAGTTATATAATTACACCTCCATTAATAACTCATACAGTCGGGCACACAGCCAGCAGTCGGTTTCTAGGATGGTGTAAACATGCATAAGTTTTCTTTAAAATAACTTTCAACTTACAACTAGTTTCCTGCACCAGATAGACCTTTATCAGACTCTATACTCAGGCTATAAGAAATCTGCTCGGTCCTTCGACGTCGCTGTTTACTATCTGAATGAGAAAGATGAGCTATGTGTTCCCTTATATAGGCATTGTTGGACGAGTTCATTTCAACCAACCTATAGATAAAATACACTGTGTATAGATAAAATACATGACTGCCTATGGCAATACAATATAAGGGGTAGCAGGTTGTGCCTAGCTCGTGGCTAAAGCTATGATTGGGAATGACTAGACTATGAATTACCCCCTCTATTGTGGACTCGCCTACTCCCGATGACGAGTTGTGGCTATTGTAGACTGATGGGCGAGTTTAATTCAAATAGCTTATACATAAAATATGTTACTGCCTATGGTGAGTCAATGTGAGGGGTAGCAGGCTATGTTTAGCCCATCGCTAACGCTGTGTTGGGAATGAATGCGTAATGAATCACCCCTCGTTGTGGACTAGCTGATTCATTCAGGTTAGATAGAACGTGTCCCAACAGGTCACAACAGGTTTTACTACACTTCGTCGCCTTGTTGTATAACCATATTGGATAAGTGTATGCGACTTACTTGAATAAATTTTATATATATATTAAATCTGTTGAGGGAATTTACATCAGTCCTAAAACAACGTATGAATCTGTAAGTAGTTAACTTTTGTCCCTATACATACACTGGTTGACTCTAAATTTAGCTCCGATTGCACAATACCTTGAAATGTTCGAATCTCACTGTTGAACTGCTAGGTCAACATTTAGATATTCATTGTGTATATAGAGGTCGTTTTTATTTTTTATGTTTTGCTTCATGCAGTGTTGGTAACGCTAGATTACGGAGAGAGATTTGTCACGCTTGTAAAAATACATAGTCGCTCGGCTGTAGCCCGAGGGGTGACCTAGATCAGAGAGAGAGGTGTTTCCCTGTTGAGTGACGTCATGGGATTTTCCCGAGCATCCCTTTGGGAGGCTCGCTAAAGAGGCTCGGTTTTTGCCGTTAGTTTAACATGGGGCCGACTGTCTTCAAACGCAGCTTACCCCTACTACTGGATTCACCTAAGTGGTAAACTTCTAAGACATCACATCAGATTTTCCTCCAAGGTTATGCAGACTAAACTACAGTGCTAACCAAACTCACTCGCCTACTCACCTTTTCATACAACAATAATGGTTTTGGTTTGGTTCTGGTTGTTTTGGTTTGTTTGTTGTTTAACGCCGCAGTCAGCAATATTCCAGATATATGACGGCGGTCTGTAAATAATCAAGTCTGGACCACACAATCCAGTGATTAATATCATGAACATCGATCCACGCAGTTGGGATCGATGACATGCATCAACCAAGTCAGCAAGCCTGACCACCCGATCCCGTTAGTCGCCTCTTACGACAAGCATGGGATGCTGAGAATTTGTACTAGTATCAATGAGGGCCGGTTCATCAATTTTAACATACATTATCTTTTTAATGGAAGGTTTTGGTACAGATGCACCATTTGTTTCACACTTGTCACTCTTTGTTGGCGTAAAACTCACTCACTCACTCACTCACTCACTCACTCACTCTTCCCCAGCATGTGACCTGGAGCAGTTCCAGTGTCTAGACGGCCGCTGTCTACATCCAAGTCTCCTATGCGACGGCAACTTAGACTGCCTCAATGGCGAGGATGAGACAATATGCAGTAAGTTGACATATGGTTCTTTTACGTCCCCAGTTTACATTCACACCCTGACGATCTTCCATTACTGGTTTTGTTAAGGCGTGTTCCAATGTTCCAATGGCAAAAATCATGATTGCCCTTGGTGGCGTAGCTTAATGATTTAACTCTCACCGAGGTTCGGTTCCCCAAGCGGGTAATCTGTCAGAAGTCCATTTTTCCTGTTCCCCGTCGTGGTATTGCTGGGATATTGCTTAAAACGGCGTAAGACTAGACTCCCTCACTTTTACAGTCTTCCTGCTTTGTTCAGTCCAACTGACTGCACCTTCACCCGATGAAAGCCGTCCCGCCATTGTTTTACAAGGGCATATCCTCAACAAGGCCTCACACTGCGTAACCATCCGATCCTCACTGTAGTTGACTCTTACGACAAGCATGAGGCACACGTGGCCCATTCTGCTTCCATTTCACCTTTTTGTAAAATTATTATCCCCCGCCCAACAAAGTTGGCAGGGGATATATAGAAACGGGCTCCGTCCGTCCGTCCGTAATGTTTCATTTCCGGAGCATAACTCAGAAACCGTTCAATATTTTTTCATGAAACTTTGCAGGTCTGCCTGAACTGGTGCCTTTTGCTATTTAGAATTTTTAGAAACTCTTCTTTTTTACAATTTCCATGACAAGTTCCACCTCGGTTAAAAAAGGTTAGGGTTTGTTTAGATTTAATTATGTCATAAATTCTGCAACAGGGGCGGGGGATATGGCCACGTAAGTGGCTAACTCTTGTTATACTACTAACCTTTCGACATGTGAATGTTACAAATGAAGATCCGGGTAAGATTAGGTCTTCAGTATCCCATGCTTGCCATAAAAGTCGACTACGCTTGTCGTAAGGCTAAGGCAAATAATGGGAACGGGTGGTCAGGCTCGTTGACTTGGGTGATGCATGTCATCCTATCCCAGTTATGTAGATCGATGCTCAATCACTGGATGTCTGGTCCAGACTCGATTATTACAGACCGCCTTTATATAGCTGGAATATACAACACATAAACAAACGTGTTCATTTATAGAAAACAGAGTACACTTAGTATTAAGTATTCCAACACTTTAACTTATTCATTTGGTGTTAAGTTTTCAACAAAATTACACACCCCAACACAAAATCACAAAATAACCTGTCTGTACCCTCAAAAGCTACATTCGCTTGCATTTTGAGACAAATCTCGTGTTTGAAGCTCATTTCTGGTGTTCCCCGTCGTGATGTTGCTAAAAGCGGTGTAAAACCATCTTCACCCCTCACTTGTACATATCTGAAGACAGAGAGTAATGTCCCCTTTTCAATGAATCCTTGTTCCAACACTCCTTCCAGAATCCTCTCCTACATCCGATAAAGATGTTAATCCCCCAACCTCAGTGATAGCCGGCGTGTGTATCGCCATCATCGTCGTCACCCTCGCCGTCATAGCGGTGCTGGTGTTCCTCAGACGCCGGCGACTGCGGTCCCTGCATCGAGAGTCAGGTATGTATCTGTATTCGATTTACCTGTTGGAAGCGAGGTATGTTTACATTGTTGTTTACATGTGGCGGCCCCCGCGTTTCTGTTTTCGGTCATATTCACTTTCAATTAAAAAAATGTGTATATATTTGGAGGTAAGTATTGAAGGAAGAGATTGGAATATGGTTCCTAAAATATTTTATGATTTGTAACTTATGGGAGATGTTGAAGTAAATGCTACAGCAAACACTTTCAGATTTTTTTATTTTCTAACGGGTCGATTCGACGCCACAGTAGTGACAAATACCTGATATTAAACGATAAACGGATGAGGGAATATGGTAACCGCTGCTGTGATATTGTCCCCTTTAACGTGCTGTGGTTGGATGCTATGCCTGAATCAATGCACCTATACAACACGGACTGATTCATGTTCAGTATGTACCAAACGTAAATACTACCTCGACGCAACACAAACCAGAAAGAATGACAATTTAGATCAGGCTTTGGGGTGATTGACTGATTAATCCACCATGCACATCCACAGGTTCTGAACCCCTTCAAAGTGGCGCATCCAGCAGCGATCCCTCCACCGAGACTGAACACACAAGTGACAGCGACGCCTACAGAGTCGTGCCTAAAGAAGACATCGTGGTGGATGACTTTTCAGATTTCGCTGATGCGCTGTGTACATCAACACCCAGACCGGATATCCGGCGGCAAGTACATCCGGGTCAAGGTCGTCAAGGGGCGATAAAAGCGTCTATGTTGATGGCGGTGACGTGACGCTACACTGGCTTTAGGTCTGGTTACTATCTTTGATATTTATTCAAGTTATGCAGTTGTATGACCCGAAAAATACCACATAATCAACAATGCTGCTCTGTCAAATGCTACCATGGGTGGTGATGTTTGACACGAGTAAACCATGACTATGACTATGACATATTTAGTGCTGAGTTCGATCGAAACGAACGACTTCCTACCAAAACAAGCTGTTATCGATTGCCATGGAAACTACCATGCTGTGTTTTCCCCAAATGGGTACAATGTGGGAAGCCAATTTATGATGAACCGAGTCTTGATACTGCTAAAATATTTCTAAAAGCGGCGTAAAATGATACTCACTCACCCATTGTGCTGATATTAGTTAAGACTACTCTTCATCCATTGTCAGTATCCCTTCGTGTTACCAATGTTTTACAAACAATCTATGTTACATTTCGTTAAGTGTTTGCAAATAATAACGATTTTGAATACATGATGTACATCATGTAATTTAAAAATGAGAAAGTGTTGGACCAATACTTGATTTCTATTGACGGGCGTGTGGAAAATGTGTAGCACTTGTCATGTATCTTCTCAGTTTGACACGAGAAACGTCCAACGTCCAATCTTGGTACTATTTTATATCGTCGCTAACAAATTTATGCTATTTAATGTTTCGAGATGAAATATGTGGTTTACACTGAAGATCAAACACCAGACTTTCACTGTTGCCTGATCATGAAGACATACCCCAAGGTTATAACGTCAAACGTTTGTTGACGCTGAGGTTACACAATGCTGAATGAGAGAAGTGTGTAAACATTTTGATATGGTGTTTATTTTTGTTAGGAAACAAATAAAACTGTTCATATTCAACATGTACATGTATTGTGTTGGTTTGTCGTATTTGTGGCTAGTCCAGTGATTCCGGGGCAAGTCCATTCACCAACATTCACAATTAATACTGTAACCATTATTCTCATTCATAACCAACTCTTGTGATTCCGGGACAAGCCCTTACACAAAGAGGCGAATTGTGACCAGTCTAATTACAATCTTGTACTCTGATACGATATCTCCGTGTGTGAAGATACCAGAGACAAGATGTTATTTCTCATGAGTGAGTGAGTGAGTATGGTTTTACGCCGCTTTTAGCAATATTCCAGCAATATCACGGCGGGGGACACCAGTAATGGGCTTCACACATTGTACCCATGTCGGGAATCGAACCCGGGTCTTCGGCATGGCGAGCGAATGCTTTAACCACTAGGCTACCAGACCGCCCCTTATTTCTCATGAAGCAAGGTGGTGACATGGAGAAGTTAAGAAGCAAAACATATACACTGTTGTAAGACAATAATTAGTGGCGCACGCACAGTCCACATTTAACATCCTGAGCTTATCAATCATAAGAGTAGAATAGGTCCTCAGCAACCCATGCTTGCCGTAAAAGGCGACTATGCTTGTCGTAAGAGGCGACTAACGGGATCAGGTGGTCAAGTTCACTGACTTGGTTGATACATGTCATCGCATCCCAATTGCTAGGATCGATGTTTATGATGTTAATCACTTGATTGTCTGACCCAGACTCGATTATTTATAGACTGCCGTCATATAGCTGGAATATTGCTTAGTACAGCGTTAAACAACAAACGAACAAACAATCATCAAAGAAGAGGTTTCAAATACCCAGTTCGATTCATGCATGAGTACTGCCAAACCCATACTTGATGTCCCAAGCCGGAATGCTAGAGTAATATTGCTGGAATACCCCACTACTTCACACAAATAGTTATGGTGTCTTTAATTGCCATATACATTGTCATATTAGGTTAGCAGAACAATATTGGGCTAGACGTCAGCCGAGCCCAATATTTTTCTGATAACCTAATATGACACCATATACGGCAACTTAAGACACCATAACGAATTTATTATGCCAAAAGGTTTACACTATTTGGTATCTTTTTCACACATGTCATGTCAAAACTTAAAACTCAAAACTTACAAACACTTACAACCTAAGACGTTAAGGGTCAAAGGGAGACTACTCTTCAAACCTCAGAAGCCAAACCTTGTTGATAATTTTAACTTTACATGATCTTTATTAAAGTCCCGAACGTGATCCAAAAAACATAAACGTCCTTGCACATGAAAATTAATGATATTACAACACAAAATTGTGTCGAATAAAGAATTTCTGTACCAGAATTTTCATGTGAAATATGTGAGGTGGGTGTTGGAAAATCCAAAATGGCTGTTACTGACGGTATACGGTCTCATATTAGGTCAGTAACAACCATCTTGGATTTTTACTAACGGTATGCGGGCTCATGATGGGTTAGTATTTCTGCTCTCTGATTGGTCAAACTCACTTTAAGGCATAATAAATTTGGATATATATATCAGCCATATTTCAGCACTTATGAGGCCATTTTCATACAGTACAATGTACATTCAATGTTTAGTAGTAGACTAGTGTTACATACATTTATTATTATGGGTTGTGAGTTGAATATGCGTATATCTGGATAAATTCGGGTTGCAATCAGCCACAAAAACCTACTGGCTACATTGAATCACTGGTTTCCTCCGTCCATAACATACCATTTCTGTTGTGAAAGGTATACAAGAGTTACCTCCCTTAGAGGCCGATCATCTCAAACGAGAGCTGAGATTTATTTTTTGTCACATTTCAACATAAGAAAAGAATGTAACAATTTTCTCTGTACTCTAAAGTAGTACAGATGAAGGTGATTCTAAAACAGTACATTGAACATAACAGTATAATAAAGCATTTTTATGTAATAAAAGACCCTTTTTTTACAACACCATGTGTAGGAAAATCCAAGGGTGCTGTTTTCTTCAGATTGGCAGATTGTGTCAACCTCCGACAAAGAGAACATATCTGCATTCAAGGTGCCGAACAGTTTGGAGGTGGCAGCATCTGTAGCCCTGTCAATGCAGCATCATTAGCCATGCAATGCGGCATCGTTAGTCCTGCAATACAGCATCTGTATCCCTGTCAATGCAGCATCATTAGCCATGCAATGCGGCATCATTAGTCCTGCAATGCAGCATCTGTAGCCTTGTCAATACAGCATCTGTAGCCAAGTCAAGACAGATCTGGTGATTTTGGAAGGAAATATCACTGGACACCATTACATTCACCAATCTCTCTGTCTTGTTTGTACTACCGTTCTTTCAACAGAACAGGACAGACCCTGTTTCAACAAGATAACACAAGACCCAAAACAGCATCTTGCCTTGGCCAGCACAATCAAAAGACATGTCACCCATAACATACTTGGCGGTTATCCCAAACCTTAGGAAACGGGCGTAAAATATTTGTTGCTGGGGTACGATTCTTGAAAAAGACATTCTGAAAAGCAGTGCCATTTATCAGCACCTCTGTTGCCTTGTTGTACACTCATTGGGCCACAGATACGAAGGTTGCGTGTTTCCTCGGGCAATTGTACGACTTTCATTTATCGTCATTGATGCAAAACTGTTGTGTCTGTAGGATACACCAATATTTTAGTGTATTTTTCAAACAAGTAAAGTTTAGTTTTCAATATTGTAGTGCATGTATGGAATCTAATCCATACAAAATGCAAGCCCCATGCATTTCACTACCCAACAATGGGTATAAAAACATGTGCGTTAACGGGATTCCATATGCATTGTTTAGCATCGTGCTCACAACAACCACTCAGAAAAACAACAAAATTACGCAATTATTCAACGTTACGAAATGCCACGCCTGTCCGAAAATGATTGTCTGCGAGCCGTTGGTATGCTTGAAGCAGGATCGAGTCAACGTGATGTTGCAAGACAATTTAACGTCCACAGGAACACCATTTGGTGTTTATTGCAACGTTGGCAACAGACGAATGCAGTCAGAGACCATCCTCGTAGTGTCAGGCCACGCGTAACCAATAATCGACAAGACAACTGGATTCGAACAACACACCTACGAAATCGATTCCAGCCAGCAACAGAAACTGCAAGAAGCATCCCTGGCCTTCGACAAATATCTTCACAAACCGTACGTCGCCGCCTCAGATGTACAGGGAAGACCCGCCAGACGTCCCATTTTGACAGGAAACCACCTTCAAGCACGTCTACAGTGGTGCAGACAGCGTCTACACTGGATGGCCATGCAGTGGGGACAAGTTCTATTCACTGACAAGACTCGTTTTCACCTCAGCCACAGCGATGGACGGATTCGAGTGTACCGACGTCGAGGTGAACGTTACGTCAATCATTGTGTCATGGAAGAAGATCGGTTCAGGGGCGGCAGTGTTATGGTATGGGGTGGGATTACAGCAAGACAGAGGACCCGTTTGATAGTGGTAGAGGGAAATCTCAATGGACAGCGCTACCACGACGAGATCATCGGCCCTGTTGTTCTACCGTTTTTGCGTCGTCATGGCCCTGTTGTTCTACCGTTTTTGCGTCGTCATGGCCCAGGCATTACCTTTCAACATGACAACCCCCGGCCTCACATTGCTCGACTTGTTCAGGATTCTCTTCAACAACGTGAATGTCATCGCCTGGCCGGCTCACTCCCCGGATCTCTCAATCAAGCACATGTGGGATGAGATGGATCGGCGCCTTCGACGTCAACCACGTGTTCCACAGACACTCTTGGAACTTCGAAACATGCTCCAGCAGATATGGACAGATATCCCACAGGACTTTGTGCGACGCCTGGTCCATTCCATGAGACGAAGTTGTGTTGCTTGCATCGCAACCAGAGGTGGACACACACGCTATTGATTTGTAAACTGACATTTTGGCATGTTCATGTTTTTTTAATGAAATCAAGCATTTTCTGAAGTCAGTATGGCAAATTAAACCATTTGAAAACTTACAGGAGTCTTTATTCTGTTGCAAACCGAAATTGTTTCAGATTTGGTAAAAAAACATAACTTTGCATTAAATCTTATTCAGTGTTACAGGAGTGAGTGAGTTGGGTTTAACGCCGCTTTTAACATTATTCCAGTCATATCGCGGCGTCAATGTCACAGGAACTTTTGTTGTTCAGTATATGATTTATCCAAAGAGAAAGATATTTTAACTTCACGCTGTCTTTCTGTGTACTGAAACAGCCGAGAAAGAGACATGACGTCACTTTAAAACGCAATGACGTCACTAAACGTGGACAAATGTCATGTTATTTTTTATACAAGTGTTTCCAAGTTCAAATGACTGCTAACTATGAACTTATATTATTAACAATGAATCTCTCGTAATTCCTGTGATCAAATACCAATCCATACATTATTTAAAAGTGTTGAATGTTCAACATCTTATGTCATCCGTCGAGTATTTCGACAATCGCAACAACCCTACTACCAATGTGTATCTGTGGCCATAGCGTCACTTTCTGAAACGTACACAATAAAGTACAGAAGATGTTTCAGAAAATACTATTTATTTGTCTGTTCGTATGACGTCCTTAATAGTTGATAACTGACGCAGCAATCAGGATCTGACGTCACAGATGATTACGTCACAGCATTGGCCCGACACTTTCTTGAAGCGACACCCAGGGGGAGCTAACTCTATAGCTTGGCATCTGAAGGAAAGAAGAGATATGTATGATAACGATTGTGGAGTTTCATTAAGAAAAGGGGTCACGGGTGGCCCAGTCGTCTAAGGCGCCGCGATTCGCTGTGCAGAGTTGTGTCCCTTGGGCACGCCAGAAACCTATGATTGTGGGTTCGAATACCTCTTCACCCCGATTATGTTTCTAGGTTTGTCAGCACCACACCCGTGCTAGGGCTTTCCTCCCACAGTAAGCTGGAATACTGTTAAAAGCGGCGTTAAACCCAACTCATTCACTCATTAAGAAAAGTGACTTCTTACTGTTTATGGGTTATAATTCGGGAGAGGAAGTTTAGGCATTATCATTTCATATCACTTATATCCTTCAAGTTATTACATGTACAAATTAAAGCCAGTGTTAAAGTATGGTACGATCACCTTGGCAGCAAATGTTATATTTGGGATAACACTTTCTCAGTAAAGTACATTTTCTCGTACTTTTGGGGGTTGAGTCCCATCCGGGAATCGCCAGAGTGGAGCACCTAATATAATTTCCAACACAAAAAAATCAGTGATCTAACCCACTCAACCACCGAGGCTCGACGACTGGTAGTCTTGATCACCTAGTTTGTGTACCCCTCTGACATGTGCAAATTGGTACGGCTCCCATTGTCGAAAGCTAATCGCCAGCACACTATAGCACTAAGATCGGCCAACCCGATTCGTTTAGTCGCCTCGAATAACAAGCATTGAAACCTATCCTTATCCGACATCACGCCGGGGGGGGGGGGGGGGGGGGTCATTGTTTATATCCCGCAAACCTTCCAGTCTTTTCTGCAAATAGTTATGTATGCGACTAACTGCGACGACTTGAAAATGAGTGATATCAGCAATACACAATTGAATTTGCAAATATTTAGCTATACACACTCTGAAGAGCAGATGAAATGTCCGTAGTAGTCGTCCACGCATCGGCAGTTGTAGTCGCAGTCAATGTTCCAAGTCTCGCCTTGCCGGAACATCTCACCCCTGTACAGGCAATGACCTTGAGGAAGAGGGCAAGGTCCGAGGTTAGAGGTTATTAAAGACATGGGTCTTTCAAATGTTTAGATGTTGAGTAAAATTTAGGGTTCGAATGTTCTCATTAGCATTGCGTCCCTGATAAGGGACGGTTTGCCTAAATTGTTCACATCTTAATCATGTATATATATGTACGTTGCATGTCCATAACGTTTAGTCCTTCACTCACCTTTCGGCCCAGGGCTAGATCCCACGCTCATTGCTGCAGAGCGACCCACATAGAGAAGTGTAACGGTTAATACAAGCCACAGTGTCGCCATCTTCACTCGTTTTGTATCGGCGTAATACAGTTTTGTGTTAGAATGTCTGGGTTGCGTTCTGGGCAGGAAATAAAAGGTGCGTAGTGTTCATAAAAGTGTCATACAGGAATGAAGTGAGCTAATCGTCATTTTTGTGGTTGGATACGGGTGGCCAAGTGATATTCGGCGCCGATATTCGCCCACAGTCGTACCAGGAGTCAGATGATCGTGGGTTCGAATCCCAGATAATTGGTCTGCAAAGCCAACCCCGTGTTCCTATGTTTCACCAAGCGGGTAATCAAGTGATTGACGTCGTGAGCATTATACCCGTGAAGATCCAGGTTAGAATTAGTCTTCAACAACCCATGCTTGTCGTAAGAGGCGACTTAGGGGATCGGATGGTCAGGCACGCTGACATCGTATCCCAGTTGAGTAGATTATTTATTTCCTGACCACCGTCATATGGCTGGAATATTGCGGCGTTAAACAACAAGCAAACAACCAAACATGAGCATCGATCTACGCAATTGGTTTGGTTATGTGTTTTTTTTCCATTTCCCATTTCATTTGTTTGTTGTTTAATGCAGCACTCAGCAATATTCCAGCTATATGACGGCGGTTTCTAAATAATCGAGTCTGGACCAGACAATCCAGTGATTCACAACATGAGCATCGATCCACGCAATTGGGATACGATGACATGCATGAACCAAATCAGCGAGCCTGACCACACGATCCCGTTAGTCGCATCTTACAAGCATAGGTTGCTGAAAAGTATTTCTTACCCGAATCTTCATGGGTTTTTTTAGTGGTTATGTGCCAATTGTAATAGGAAATAGAAAATAAAACAGGTTGATCTTTCAGTTTTATTTTTCAACTATTAAAAGGATTTTCTGAAAAATATCCAACACCGTTTTCAATTACGGCATTAGGGATACGTTCCCCATCAATTTAGATTTTAAACAATATCGCATATAAAGGCGCCTAAACGCAACATACATGTTATCGCAACTGGTACATGCATATCAAACTCTCCTCTGTTCTCCTTAGAGCAGAACAGATCTCCTTGTTTGCCTGGGTGCGTTAAACAAAGGTAAACATGACGATCATGCATTCACTCTTAATGCAATTTAATTAGTTTTGTCTCAAATTTCCATTTTAAAACTTACACACAACATTAGTAGGCTCTTTCAATCCCAACACACCATCTTCCCAACTGAGGTTTTCTGGTCAGGACAACCCCATCCTACATTGTACAAATCAGAACCCACTGTGGATAATACATTCAAATATTAATCTTCAATTTAATTCAATATACAGATTGCTCAAATATATATTAATTATACAAAGTAGACACGCTCGCTTAACTGGATCCCCAGTTGGAGATGGTACACTGATGCAGAGGGATGTTGTTTGGTGGGATTGAAACACGGCGTGACGGAGCATGTGTCGTCTTAAAGTCAAACCCCCGAGCTGCTGCTGGACCATATGAGGGAGGAAGTGATGAAACGATGTAACGATGAAGTGATGAAGCGAATCGGGTTATGATTGGCCTATTGCGTGTGTGTCATTGTGACTCTATGACGTGGTCGCTGCTCATCCCTTTAGCCATGTGTGCCTAACATGCTCCCACGATATAGCTAATTGATGATTGTGTCGCTAAGCATGGAGTTGGGTGTTTGTGTTGTTGTTTTACGCCGCACTCAGCAATATTCCAGCTATATGACGGCGGTCTGTAAATAATCGAGTCTGGACAAGACAATCCAGTGATTGACATCATGAACATCGATCCACGCAGTTCGGATCGATGACATGCATCAACCAAGTCAGCGAGCCTGACCACCCGATCCCGTTAGTCGCCTTTTACGACAAGCATAGTTGCCTTTTACGGCAAATATGGGTTGCTGAAGACCATTCTACCCCGGAATAGAGGGTCTGACCAGGTGGTTCGATTCCCTGTCCGCCTCCGTGGTGTAGTGGATAGAGGGTCTGACCAGGTGGTTCGATTCCCTGTCCGCCTCCGTGGTGTAGTGGATAGAGGGTCTGACCAGGTGGTTCGATTCCCAGTCCACCTCCGTGGTGTAGTGGATAGAGGGTCTGACCAGGTGGTTCGATTCCCTGTCCGCCTCCGTGGTGTAGTGGATAGAGGGTCTGACCAGGTGGTTCGATTCCCAGTCCACCTCCGTGGTGTAGTGGATAGAGGGTCTGACCAGGTGGTTCGATTCCCTGTCCACCTCCGTGGTGTAGTGGATAGAGGGTCTGACCAGGTGGTTCGATTCCCTGTCCCCCTTCGTGGTGTAGTGGATAGAGGGTTTGACCGGAGAGAGGTAGGTCGGTGGCTCGATTCCCTTCCCGCCTCCGTGGTGTAGTAGAAAGAGGGTTTGACCGGAGAGAGGAAGTTCGGTGGATCGATTCCGTGTCCACCTCCGTGGTGTAGTGGATAGAGGGTCTGACCAGGTGGTTCGATTCCCTGTCCGCCTCCGTGGTGTAGTGGATAGAGGGTCTGACCAGGTGGTTCGATTCCCTGTCCGCCTCCGTGGTGTAGTGGATAGAGGGTCTGACCAGGTGGTTCGATTCCCTGTCCGCCTCCGTGGTGTAGTGGATAGAGGGTCTGACCAGGTGGTTCGATTCCCTGTCCACCTCCGTGGTGTAGTGGATAGAGGGTCTGACCAGGTGGTTCGATTCCCTGTCCGCCTCCATGGTGTAGTGGAAAGAAGGTCTGCCAGCGTTCGGCATTAGGTACGTCCATGTTAAACTGGGACATGGTATCTCAGAGGGTTAGCCTAATGAGTGAGTGAGAGAGTTGGTTTTAACAGTATTCTAGTTGTATCGCGGCGTGTCAGCTTAATGTGGGGGGAAAGCCCGAAGTGACGCAGGTCTTAGACGTTTACCACTTCGGTGAAACCCACGAGCACGGGTATGGTGCTGACAAACCTAGAAACATAATCGGGGTGAACCGGGATTCGAACCCACAATCATAGGTTTCTCACGCAACTCTGCACAGCGAATCGCGGCGCCTTAGACGACTGGGCCACCCGTGCCCCCTTAGCCTAATGAAACACGTATGCATACAATCACACACACAAACACGCAGGCACAATTTATTGTTGTCGAGTCTTCTCTCTGCAAGACAACAGTTCAACATTAAGCAAAAAGTCCGTCGTATAGTCATAAGCTACTTGTATTTATTGATACATGTGTATCAAATTTGAAATTTAAACAGACTGAAGGAATTTGTGTACACACCACGTGAGATACTAGCAAAACCTTTCTTCCATATATGCTTCATAATGAATTGATTTAATTTATGTCAAGGGGATGCTTACTTCTTTCCCTAAATGTCTTATTGCCAATTTTCAAATGACCCTGGTCATGTATAATGAGTTCTACCAAAACATGATGTACTTTTTCCAGGAGCAATAAAAATTATTTAAAAAAATAAATAAAATAAAACAATTCACATGGGTGTTATCAATGAGAACGTCCAGCATTTTACATTTTGTTTTCTCAGTAAACTTCAGATGACCTGTACTTTCAGTTTTGACAATTTGTCCTGAATGAGTGAGTTAAAATTTTAAGTCACATCGGCAATATTTCAGCCATATCGTGACTATAAGGTTTAAACATAACACATATATTGAACCTTATATAAAAACCTGCCAACGAAAGACAGTAAAATAACTAGACTTATCATAGAAATATATTTAAAACTAGTGTGGAATCATAAAATTTATAGCACTAAACATAACATAACATCATAAAAACGGGCTTTAGATCGCCAGCAACTGAAGGTAGATGCCATACTAGGGACCAGGGGGACTTACAGTGCTTTAGCATCTTGCATGGAACCCAGCAGGACAAATTGTCCTGAACCTCTGTAAACAGATGTACCTGTATCTATGTTAATGTTTAGTGGCAAATGCCCCTTTGATCAAGGAACCCTACCAATGACAACATCACGCATATTCATATTTGAATATCTGCTGAAGGTTGTAAATGTCAACCATAGAGAGGTGAGATGAAATGGGGTTTAACGTCTTGTCCAAGCTTATTTCACTTATATAGTGACGTGCATGAACGTGTGTGTGTTTGGCTCATCCATCAGTAAAAGTTGCTGGAGTCGTTTGATTTCTATCAACGGCACAAAGTAACGTCTCGGTCTTACTTTCTGCTGCCCCATTTGTTCCTGAATTTATAAACAATTTCAGAAATAAAACACGATGAAAAAAACAATGATAGGTGTCAACATTGATCTGTCATGTTTTTTACATCGCCCCAAAGCCACATAACCTCGAATCGTCCGTTGTTTCAGTCATAGTTTCATCGTATGGCTGCATTCCTTCCTTTGCATCGTTCGCTCTTTTCATCGCACCGCCCCTTTAAATTTTGTTTAATGCTACACACGGCAATCTCATTATAATCAGATCGTAGTTTTCGCTACTGCTAAACAAAGATCTGAGGACATCCCATTAGGGGTCACGCCAGAACAACCTTTCATCCGACAAGTCAGAGCGTCGCTTACCAGATCATGAAAGTGACAGTCGGAACGTGATTTCTAATCTCGCAACCTCGAAAACTTTAACACGGGGTATTCCGAACGATAGTTACGGTCTTAACATATATTAGCCATTCCAGAATGTTCTTTTGTTCAGGTTACAAATTGTTAATCGAGAATTTGTCAAAATACGTTTCGAAGCGTAGTCGCCAATTGAAATTAGTACCGTAAAGCATGAGAAAGCTGCTTTCTGACTGGCTAATGTTGACTTCTTGTCAGTCATTCCATTGGTCGGTCAAAGTTCGCGCAAGGTCGGTCTGACGTGACCCGTAATGGGATGTTCCCAGATCTTTGTTTAGCTGTAGCGAGAACTAAGATCTGATTTTAATGAGATTGCCACACGCGGCAACATTAGAGTTGCCCCGGGGGAACCAATTACTTAAATTATGAGCAACGATATACACGTCATCAGAATACGAAAACTCAACAAATCGTACGAGTCGCGTTCAAATTGGGACCCACGGTGGTATGGGGTTAAAGGGGCACTGATCTAACGCAATCCCCGGGACTGGTTGTTGCCTTTGTTATTGTTTTTTCCCCAGTGAGTACCCGGATGATACGCAACGCAACTGAGCGTGACCAGAGACTGGGCTACCGTCTGCAAGGACAGATAAATAAACTTGGAGGCTGGAGGCAATATTTGTTTTGCGCATTTTTACATAAACACTGATTGGTTAACTGTGATCTATAAAGATTTCGACAAAGGGCGCATGTTAATTAATTTCTTCAGCCTTAACAAACAGACAAAAAGAACGGCGGAGCTCATCGGATGTCGTCATTTAGAAATACCCCAGATGGTTATAGTTTAATTCTAATAAAAAGTATCCATGCAGTGAAAGCATTTTCGGATTTCGGCTTGCGTCGATAATACGATTACTACTCCCTTGTTGTCATCCACGTTTTCTCGTATAACCCCTACACTTGTGTATTTGTCGTCATTTACTTGATGCTCAGTTAATGAATTTATTACAGGTACAATTAGTGGTAGCACCACTTAGATTACTTGACAAAGGTTCCTATTTGGCATTTATTGTGTCTGTGGTAATTATTCAATCTAAATCCAGGTTTGAAGTGAGGTGAAATGTGTGTTATGTAATATGCACGTGGCAGCCCAGCAAGAGATGAATGATCAGTTCATTTACTTTTTTTGTAAATCAACGGATCGTTCCTAGTCATCAAAGGATTAACAGAAAATATGTTGATTGATTAATCACTGTTATCTTGCACAGAGGATATGCCAAGAGTGAGTGTTTACATGTCTAGGTTTACTAAAACAAAGGGAATACACTCATATCATGGCGTGAAGTGCCGATGTAAAAACAACATACTTTGGTCAAAGGGTTAACTGATAATACGTTGATTGATTGATCATTGTTATCTATCACTCAATGGATTATTTTAGGAACCGTGGACGTTATGAAAATAGTTGTCACGTGGGCTTTCTCATCTGACCATTGAGACTTGACACCTATGTGAAACACCTGAAACAATCTAAGTGATCAGTTGAGAAACGAACACGGGTTATTATATCCCAAAACGATATATATATTTTAAAATATTTGATTGTTACAGAGACACGTGACATCGAATAAGTTTCTTTGTACAGCTGCAGACGAGTGGGTTATTGTTCCTTTGTGTGGATATTTACGGATACATTCCTCGAACAAGGAAGCTGCCTAAAATTTATACACATAAATTTGGTAGGTTGTAATTATGATATTTGCATTTTGTTTTCCTTCATTTGAACCGATTCGTTCTTGTTTCTCTACGTCTGTGTTTTCACAGGTCCTTTTCCTTTGTAAGCGTGTATATATTACCGTCAATTTGTAAAATGTGATTCTCTCAGCCAATTTATAAAATGTGTAAATATTTCAGTCATTTTGACTAAAAAATCTGCCCAGATTGATTAAGACGATCAAAAGGGCCTACAAACATCACAACAGATTATTATGTAGGATTAGAAGCCAAACAACATAGAAATATACTTTTCAACGTAACATTTTCAGTCTCTTGGTGATGACATTAAACATCAAAATGTTTGGAATTCGTTATCATAATAATACAGATGGAAATGTTTTTCAGTCACTTTGTAAAATAACTGAATATTTAGACGTTTAATACATTTGTTACTCATTTGACAGTAAAAAAAATATACACACTTTAAAAAAAAGCAATGCTCAGGTGAAATATTTACTTTGTGATGCAGGTGAAAATAGTGTAAACGAAAATCGCAAAATTACCAAGCAAGTGACTTATCAAAACTTCATCACCATTACCGATACTACCCACAAAGATACCTACATTTCCTTATTATCTCGAAAACTGTATTTCAATTTGTTGATCAATGTGACCATACGCCCTTATTACTACCCATAAAAGTGAATAATGTGCTTACGAATGGCGCAGCAGAGGTCGCGAACTAGTCTAGATTTCTGCTATACATCCGGGTACTCACTGGGAAAAAACAATAACAAAGGCAACAACCAGTCCCGGGGAATTGCGTTAGATCAGTGCCCCTTTAAATGAATGAGTGAGTTTGGTTTAACGCAGCTTTGAACAGTATGTCACTTGTATCATGTCGTATAAGCTTCATGTGTGAGGGCTGTAGGTCTTAGTCGTTTGCCTACGAGCACGGATATGGTGCTGAAAACTTAGCAACATAATCAGGGATTCGAACCCCGAATGTTTGGCACGTGTAGGCTCAGACGAATGGGCCATCCGTGCCACCTTGATCTAAATGAGGTTGAATGGAGACGCCACAACGTAAGCTACAACGGAATATCGCGACAAACTTCAATTTACAACAAATGCTGTTCACTGACCATCGGTCATTTACAGCGGCCAGTAAACAATTGAAAAGGTCATGGGTGGTACAGCGACCAGTGCTGCAAACGCGTGGCTTCTTAATCACAACAAGATATAATTTTCCCAATCTGATTTCAATTTGCGTGGCAGATTCAACTGATTTCAATTAGTGTCCGTGGTATATAGACATGAACAGTCTGAGAGCCACACAGTTCGGCAATTTTACGTTGTGGCTTCCGGTTACAGGTACGTATCACGAATACTTTGATGACAATAGCCTCCTAAATAATGGTTTAGTAGAGTGTTGTTTCACACTTTTAGCATATATTCGTACATGTAAATGCATGTTCGCTAGAGCCACATCACCCGTTACTAATCTCTTTTGAATTTGACGAAATCCTTCTCAATTAGCTCTAAATCTTCTCTGGCAATGTCAGTTATTATTTCTTGAAAATCATCTGTAAATGTTCATAAATACCAGTATTTCTATCTCCTTGATTGAATCTTCATTGATGGAAGTTGAGGGACGTCGAGATCTAGGGTCATCATCAAGGCTTGTTCTCCCACTCTTAAACATAGCTGCCCAACGTTTAAAAGTGGAATAGCTTGGACACTTATCCCCACACACTCGTGACACGCGGTCATGAATTTCAGGGGGAGCACCTCTCTCCAAAGTACAAAACTTGATGACTGCTCGGTACTCATTCTTTTCCAAGTGTGTGTCCATTTGGACCCCTATCACGTACAACTGGCTGTAACTAATACACAAACGGCATCAACAGACCAAATACACCTGCAACGAACTACTCAAACAATGTACTACATTGACGTGGTCACTCTGTTATGGCCCACAGTAGGAAGTTAGTTAGTTGACCAGCCCTCGTATACTAGTATTCATACACACAGTAAACAGTAAACCGCAAGGCCAGTTTTGGCCGAGGACACTCCAAATACTATTATGCAAAGGATAATATTTAAGAATTTTGTTTTTAACTTTGTGTGAGTTCACTGGAGTATGACCCTTCATAGATTTAGGGCCAAACTGTATGAACGTCGGAGCTTGCTTTTTATATTTCTATTTTAGCCTCGAAGAATGTAGTACTAGATTTTTAATAAAAATTAAAGTGGTACCTGTGACTTCATGTTTACACTGACAGCCATACAACAACCAGCTGTTTGGATTGGCGGTTTACTCAATCTGCCCGTTGAAACGTCCAGCTTCATAGAACCACAACGAAGAGCGGCGAGAACAGATCTTTCGAAATGTGGTAGGTTCACATTATATTCTGTACAGAGATCTGATTTATAAGTAACATAAGTTCTAAGTTCGGGCAATGACTGAATTCCTGGCCTCCACCTGGTTTTATCAAGACAAATAAAGTTAGATAAAATTATACTATTCAGCAACCAGGTTGGAGATTTATCATTTGAACACAAAAGGTCACACAAGTCAATGTTTTCACAAACATATGACTTTACTGTCCTAGGATTTTCCGTGAGTTTTCGACCATCTATGGATCCTGTGTGTTAACCTATTTTATCATCCAAAACTGGCTCCCACAGGAGATATCGCTTGGATGAGATCAAGCGATATCTACACTGTAGATATCGCTGCAATGAAATTACATCACAATGCTTTGCAGACCATTGTGACGTCACTGGTTACCATGACGTCACAATCAAATGACACCACTAATGGCTCTGCTACTGAAGCTGTTTGCAGTAATTTTTACACTGAAGCAGTGCTAATTACTGTCTACAAATTGAAAAAGTTGAAAGAATGATGTTGGATGATAAATAAAATCTCCCCCTCGTGTCTTTTGATATCAAATATATCAACACTCGTTGATAAAAGTGGCATAAATCCTCGGCAAGCCTCGGAATTTTTCCACTTTTATCAACTCGTGTTGATATATTTGATATCAAAAGACACTCGGGTGAGATTCTCTATGTCTGTCAGGCGTTCGAGCCTACACCACAGTCTAGCTGATTCAACATATTATTTAAGTTATGGGTCCAACCAGCCCACCATATCCCCTCTTGCGACAATGTTTGGCGTGTTCCTCGAGACACCCGTAAAGATCTGAAAGCTATACTCTGAAAAGTACATACATCCGGGTATTTCACACACCACACAAACCAGAATAATGTGCTGGGACTGGTTGAACAAACTTTTCATATAATCGTGAGAACATATTGTAATACATGTCACCACAAGAGTAAAGGTGTGTTTATTAGCCAAAGGGACGTGACGCTGATTTGACAAGTTCTTTTACTGCATACATCATATCACAGTTAGCATGAAGCCAGAGTCCAAGATACCTGTAAGTCTCTTAATACTCTAAATTTATGTCACCACAATTAAAAATCCTGTTCCACTGTGAAATGAGTTTCTGCCTGGAATGCACATCTTTGGTCTCACTCCATTTACGCACCCAACGGTGTAGGATAGCCAGCATAAGATGTAGACTGTCAGGGACTAGAAGAACTATGTCGTCAGAATAAAGTAACATGCTCAAGTTATCAATCTGTGTACCGACGTTGCATTCCTTGATCTCTTCAGCGAGATCATTAATGTACAACGCAAAGAGAGTAGGCGATAACACACAGCCTTGTTAGACACCAGAATGCACATGAAACGCATCGGTTTCAAACTGATTCACTTGCACAGCGCATACCGAACATCATTCATAGATCTCACTGCTTGTTATATGGTGCCTGATAACCATAGACTGGGAGTTTAAACCATAACATGTCTCTGTTGATAGTCAAATGCCTCTCGACCCGTGAAGATTCCGGTTTAGAATAGGTCTTCAGCAACCCATACTTGCCGTAAAAGGCGACTGTGCTTGTCGTAAAAGGCGACTAACTGGATCGGGGGGTCAGGCTCGCCGACTTGGTTGATACATGTCATCGATCCCAATTGCGTGGTCCAGACTCGATTATTAACAGACCGCCGTCATATAGCTGGAATATTGCTGAGAGTGGCGTTAAACAACAAACAAACAAATGCCTTTCGGAAATCTAATTAACAAGTGAAGGCAGAGTTCTTTTTGTTCTTTCTGTTATTTTTAATATTATGTATACTGTATACATGGTTAAAACAGGAGCGAACCATATTGTTCGTCCACTGTGTTCTAGGTACCTACAAAGTCTTTGCTTGATCATGCCAGCATATTCTGTGGAGGAGATACACGGGATGGTGATAGTGACTGTAATTCATGGGGTGCGCCGTCTTTGCCCTGTTTCAGTATGGGTCTAATCGTTCCCGTTCCAGATACTTGGTATACTTCCAGTCTCCAAACTATCAGAAATCGGCCTGTAGAGTAGGTCTATACATACAGTATTTTTAAGAACAATACTTCGTAATTTGTCAGGTCCTGCAGGCTTTGCAACCCACAGGCTGATATGGCTTGTCAATGCATTTTGAATGGGCGATCGAGATCAGCCCGGGTGTTAAGAAATTGGAGTTACATCCTTTTGTGCGTCATCTGAATGGCCAGCTCTCAGACAATGTCTTCTTGACAAGGTGAAAAAGTATTGCATTAACTTGCAATTAGAATTATGGAGCTATAATGCTTCTATAACTAAACGGAAGCCCGATTTAAATGCGAGGACGACACGGAAGGTTTGTAAACATGAAAAACAAGAACACGGTACTAAACCCGTCAGCGACACGAAGCTATTCAGAAAAAAATTGGCTTCAGTCGGCGAGATGTGCACACCCGGAATCCATGGATGTTTTATAAATGCGTACATTTTTAAATTTGATGTTATGGTATAAACGGGTAATCACATGGCAGCTTTTATATCATTTTTTTTTGTTTTTTGTTTTTGTTTTGCTTTCATATCATACCCCGTATCAACGGGCCGATATGGGGTCTGGTGATGGAAAGGAGCATGAAACTCCCAAATTATGACCTCCAAGTAAAAGATTTGTCCTTGCATGTTTTAGTAACAATGATGCCAAAACTATAATGTATTTCTCTGATATAGTGGGACTCGACCTTTGATTCTCCTTGTATACGTCGCCTTACTCCTCTTGTTCGAGCTGAAATGGAGCAACTGCAGTGGTAAGTAGTAAGTGAGTGAGTATGGCTTTACGCCGCTTTTAGCAATATTCTTTAACCACTAGGCTACCCGACCGCCCTGCAGTTTCCGCCCGTATTGGTCACTCAGGAGACCTGGTTGTTCTTGCTCTTTAGGTGTTTCAAATGTAGATTCTATACCTGTAAATTTCATTCCGATTTCGAAACAATTACAGGCTTCTATGCCAATGTATAAAACGTGGTAACACAGTATTTCGAGGCGTTTATTAACTTACCTTTGCATGTGTTTATGACGGTTGCCACCGGTGGAGCAGGATACGCTTACCTTTTCGCTAACGCCTGGTGTCATCACTTTTTTCTCATCACACTAATACATGCTCATGATATAGTGTCGGAATCGTACAATCAGAACAGAAAAGATTTTTATTTACACTCTTGCCGGGATACTCGGCATTTGAAGTAAACAGAATAATTTACATAAGATGGCGGGGTGGTTTAAATGGAAGATTTTACAGTTTTCATACATTCGTCACCACTCGCCCCTTTCCGTAACCTGCAAGAAGACTCGTCCCCCTATCGATGACTGTTATGTGCGAAAATACGACAAACCAATCAGAATGCGCGTATGATTTCAAGTACTTCGTCAAAGAATCCCTCAGAAATAATTTTTTGATTTTACATATGTCTTGCATCTAAAAATATAACCAAGACACAGTTAAGTGTTTTCAATCATACTGTATAATTCCGCACTTCCCGATGTGCTTTAAATTGCATCTGAAATATATATAATATATGGTGAAATATATGTGCACAATTACGCAACGAGTTGACAATTGTTTTAGGTATGCCCGTTTGCGCTAAGACGGAACCCGGTCGCAAAAATGGCCACGAGAGGGGCACGAGTCGCTATTCGGCTTGTCCCGGAATAACACGAGTTGGTCACGAATGAGTTTTCATAATGACATTACAGATTTCTCATGAATATGGAAAAGGTTTTTGTCGCTTTTAATTAAGTACAATCATTACCTAAAATTATTACCCACTGGTGTTTGAATCCATACCGTTGGTGGACTAAGGTATGCAGGATGTTAAATGACATGAGAGAATTTTCATTTTCCCAAGCTCAAAACAATGTGAATAATAGTTTTATCGGTCAATTTGAGGGTGAGTGAGTGAGCTTTACAAACAAAAACCAATGACACCGCGTCGTATTTACCCTGACAAATCGTTATCGAATAAATAAACCCTTTTCATGTTCAATAGAAAGCTCTGTATTAAGCAGAGCATATCATGAGCATAGGTTTATGAATCTCTATCAAATATATATTTTGTAAGATGCGAATAGGTGGTCAGGTTCGGTGACTTTGTTAATCCCAATTGGATCGTTGCTCAATCAATCAATGCTCATATCAATCACTGAATTGCTGGTCCAGATTCGATTCATAAAATTTTCACCGCCATTTGGCCTTTTGCGCCCAATGGAATCTGTTTCGGCGGATAATCAAGACTGTTTATTCACTGTTCGCGTTTTATATTATCAACATACCGTCGTCATATAGCTGGAACATCGCTGAGTGAGACGTTTAACAACAAACAATCCAAATCACGTGTTAACCCTCCGACAGGAAGACATGCATCGTACTTTACCAATTGTCTTTCTTGCAGCCCAGTGTACTGAGCAGTGGGAGAAAATCCTTGAGATTGACCGAGGTGGAAATACGGTGTATGGAAGTAAGGTCAAGATGCGGAAGGCGGTATCAACAGGCAAGCGCATCAAATACTTCTCGGACGATATTGACACTGGGTTCGGCGCCGAGTCAGATGATTGCCTGCTGGTTGGTCCCCTGCAAATCGCTTGCCAACTGGTCGGCGGGGTATTTAGAGCCTCGTGGGACCAATTCGATACTGTTGCCAAATGGGAGGCTTTTCATCTGTCAACAAGTGGCCACAACTTCAGACTGAAGGAAAACCCTACTGCACGAATTGAGATCAGCAATCGGAGAAGAGGGACTTGGTATGTAGCCGAAAACACATGTGATGGACCCTCAGGTGAGGCAGTATATTCTGCCTATGGCAATGGGACGGTCATATCAGGCAGTTGGGGAAATTTGGTTCAGGCTGCCTTATCTGGTGCAAGTCTTCGAGTAGTCGATTCATCGCTGGGCCAAGTTGACCGGCGTGTTTACATTAATAACTTGGAGGTTGGGGAAAGTGGGTCTTTGGAAAGTACAGCTCTTTCGGGTCAAAGCTTGTGGAGACTAAATCAGACACGAATCAGGGCCTTCTACGAGTTTAGCTTGGATCCTAGCTGGTTATTTGAGACCTTCAGCGCTAATGGCAGCAGAGGACGTCACGAATGGTTCTTAAAGGACCACATTTCTGCAGGTATCACTTTGGACACCGTTGAGCTGGCGTGGTATGCCGATACGTGCTGGACTGAGGTCTACTCTCATGATTCGAGTGGTTCGCAAGTAAATGGTTCCCTCGCTGAACTCGTGCAGGCCATTGAAGACGGCCACCGAGTTAAAGTCATGTTCGAAAATATGTTCATGGAGGTCGATAACTGTCGAGTCATTGACGGCCATGTGTCCGCTCAGCTGGTGTCCCGAGTTAGCAAGAGTGACATCTCTTCAATAGAGGCAAACACATCCTGGGAATTCGTAATCCTCAACACCAAAGGAACAGTGAAGACCTACACTCTCTTGGTTTCCGACAGCTCAACACCCGCTCCGGGCTTCTCAAACGTGACCTTAGCCATTACATGGTACGTGGACACGAGGACCTGGGTACCGCTAATGGCTACTGACGCGTCCGGTAATATCACCTCAGGCTCCAAGACCATGATCAGAGATGCTGTCACCAGTGGGGCTGATCTGAGGGTGGGCATCAAGGTTCCAATGGACACGGTGCCAGGACAACAGTTTCTAAAAGTTGACAACGTGAGATTATACAGTTCTGATGACACGTCGGGGCAGTCTGTGCGGGCTTTGAATGAGGTTTATCTAGGGAGCAGTGAAGTGGAACTGGACGCAATCCCCTTCTGGTCATTTCGCATTATGGCTACAACAGGAACTGTGTCGACGCTCGGTGCCACTGTTGGGAGATTACAAGAAGCCAGGAATAGTCAGTTTGGTCCATCTGAAATGGTCTGGTTTGGGTCCTACTAGATACACTATGGCACCCCTCTATATTTATATTTTAAAGGGATGTTCAATTTGATTTCATTAACTAAAACACACTTTGTGTAGTCACTCTAAATGAAACAGTCCTTTTTTAAAGACAGAGTCAAAGTCATGCTGTATGTTCTGCTGATACTGAAATGGAATCCTTCATGAACTTTAAAGAGCAACGTGTACTTCATATACATTATTCACTTTCAGTTGTAAGAATCTCAATATGTAATATTTACGGTCATCATATCTGGACATTTTGTAACATGTCACTCTGGAAGATATGCGAAATCTGGAATAAAAATCACTGAATTTTCATCAAGTTTGATTCTGTTATTATCTGTTGTAGTTTGGTGCTTGTTTGCTGTTTAACGCCGCACTCGGCAATATTCAAGCTAAATGTCAGAGGTCTGTAAATAATCGAGTCTGGACCAGACAATCCAGTGATTGACATCATGATCATCAATCCACGCAATTGGGATACGATGACATGCATCAACCACGTCAGCGAGCTTGACCACCCGATCCCGTTAGTCGCCTTTTACGACAAGCATAGTCGTCTTTTACGGCGAGCATGGGTTGCTGAAGACCTATTCTACCCCGGATCTTCACGGGTCTTATCTGTTGTAAGAATCATGGGTTGAAAGGGGGCACGGATGATCGATGGCGGTGCGATTTGCTGGCTGCTAATTAAGGCGTGTCAGATGATCATGGGTTCGAATACCAGATTCGCCTTGAATTGATCCTTGGTTTGTCAGCACCTTAAGCGTGCTAGTTTAAAATCTGAGGACAAATATATATTTAAAACATTTTCGGGACAGTTTATTGTTTTGCCAAATTGTCACCCCCTTCTCCATGCACACACGACACACTGACAAACTGTCGACAAATAAGCTGATGATCTGTCAGCATAATCCTAATATATATCCATCATGTGGACAGTCTGTGTTTGTTTTGAAAACAACCCAGATTGGGAGTCTTGTTGTCGAATGTAGATGTCCCTGTCTAGCTGGCAATGTTTTGTTTGATTGTTGTTTTACGCCGCACTCAGCAATATTACAGCTATATGACGGGGGTCTAAATTCTCGAGTCTGGACCAGACAATCTAGTGATTGACATCATGAGCATCGGTCCACGCAATTGAGATACGATGACGTATCAACCATGCGAGCCTGACCGCCCGATCCCGTTAGTCGCCTCTTACGACAAGCATTCTACCCCGGATCTTCACGGGTCAGGGGGCAATGTAGACAACATTCATACCATGCGACTTTTATAGTCAGGAGCTGACTTTTATCGGTGTAGATTTGTAATGCTCTCTGTGTATTTCGATCGGGTCAGCTGTATATTTGACCTGACCAGTACACTCAGTGCTGCTAGCTTGTGTACATTCGCCTGTTTAGTAGTACTGACGTTGTGTGAGTCCTATTGTTAATTGCTTGCTTAAGGTGTCCTCCCATTAGTTAGACGTCCCAATAGTTAGACAGCTTATAACAAAACTGTAAACGGTTGAGTGCACACTACTCCTTATGCTTGTTACCTCAGACTTTAAAATGGAATAGTCCAGATAAGATCTGACAAACAAAGCAAAGCAGCTTTAAATAGATACTTTAATATTATACTTAACATTTAATGACACTTTACATTTGGTACATTTTATACAGTTTGTAACACCACTTTGTGACAGTTTTTGGTAATGTACATTTTACATTTAATAACTTTTACAGTTCATTTATCCCAGACGAAGCAAGTGTCCACAAGCATCTAAATACTCAATAGCAGACTTGTCACCCTGCTGTAGCTGATCTTTGAGGCGTACCAGGCGGTTCTCTGTCTCTCTGTAGATTCTCTTGCTGCAGCGCGGTGCTGCACCAAAGTTCAATTGCATCACCTTAGTCCTTTCACTGAACTCTACTTTCTGGATGACTTCAATGAATCTGTAGATGTTAGGGTGAAGATGTGGCAGTAGGTAGTTCAGTCGGCTGTGGAATCCATCAAGGTTGTTGTTGGTTCTGGGTCCATCAGTTTCGAACTGTTTCCACATGTGAATCGGGAATCTGGCGTCATCATCCGCCCAGGTTCTCACAATGTAGTCGTTTAAGTCCACAGCTCTAGGCACATCTGGTGTCGACTCCATAGCTTTGTGCCGACTCCATAGCTTGAACCCACGCATCCTGAACAAAGGGAATGGGCAGCAGAGCTAGCCCAGCTGCTCGTCGAATCTACTTGGTCACATGGGGGTCCTCCTTATACATGACTGCAAGTCCAAGATTTTGAGTCTTTCTCCAAATAGCCTTGGTGAAATGTAAAAAACATCCCTTGATCACTGTTGCGGAAACTCTGTCTCGGTCGCGCTGACAACGGCTTGTTCAAAGTCGACCTGTATCTTGCTAGTTGCTAGGTGACAGAGGTCTGTTGAGTCGCTCTTGAACTTCTGTCTTCAGTTGTCGAAAAAGCCGGCCTCCTCGTAAAATGCCTGCATCTGTGTGATGTCTTCTCGCGCTCATATCCATCTAATATCAACTGCTTACTTCCACGCCGAGAGGTGATGTACTCTACTTTGCTTAAACCAGCCATATCGATACTGATAATGATACGTACGTACCCCAAGATCATTTTTATTTGTTTGATGAGTAGATAATCTAAACTCAACTCCTTCAACTGATCATACAGTAAGACAATTAAGCTACTCCATAGTTTACATAGTTAATCTCATGCCTATTGAACCTGTGCTGAGAGTGTCCCTCCTCTACTACCCTCACTTTGAAGTCGAATAAAATTCAAAACACATCACCTTCACTTCACAGTTTTGAATAAGGTGGGAAATTCCCTGTTCTGTGATATCATCAACTGGCATTTTAGGCCAAGCAAAAGTTCTGAAAATGATCTCTGAAAATTAGGTACATCGTAAATGTCGCCTTTTTTGACACATTACTAAATCACCACTCACGGCGTTATTTACAGCATGTTTTGAAATCTAAATTTCGGATATTTACTCGGAGAAATGAATTCCAAAAATAGCATATTAGTGATCACGGGTATCTGTCTTTTTATGAAATCACCAATGATCATTCCAAACCGTCTCCGATAACCCTAGAATCGTTTAGATCTAGAATGTTTTGGAAAATACGCAAACACGAACGCCGAAATGAACATTCCGCCATATTGGATAGTGTTTACAAAATCACGTTTCAGGTACACCGGTTATGAGACGCCTGTAACATCACGTATATTTCAAACTTAGCTGCGATACATACATCCTTGAATTCCTCATACATTTTACAATCAAATGACCAATGGTTTTTGTTGTCACCAATACAAAGTAGCTAGACGAAATCACGCAAAATAAGTTAGGTGTGAAAACGAACGCTGTGCTCGAAAAAATGGACTTGTTTGAAATGTAAACAAAGCAAAATACAGACTTTACACATTGTAGCATTTTCTCCTATTTTTGAGATATCCATTCGTCTATTCGTTCAAGATATTGGCTCAACATTTTCAGAATAAGTATGGGAAGATAATCGTAGGAAAAATTGAGGAATTAAAATAGATACATTGCAATGATTTGATATATTCAACAGAAATTGTCAAAGTTACCGTTCTGAGTGACGCCATGACTGACGCAAAATCACGCACAACGACAACGGTATTTATCGGAATTTCTGACTATTTCCGTTTGTTTCAATTAAGAATTGACCTTCACTTTGTGTGAGTTCATTGGAGTATGAACCTGCATAGAGTGAGGTCCAAACTGTATGAACGTCGGAGCTTGGCCGACACGATAAACGTGACGGGAGGATTTCCGAAGTTGTTAATGAACCTGAAGCGTTTACATGTGTTAGTCATCATTGATCAACTGACCGATTATTGAAAGGTGATTAAAGATGCGTCAAACAGACACCAAGGTAAATTCGTAGATTGCTGGAGACGGTCACTGTCAGCCTAGACACAGATCGAGTCGATACTGACGATAGTTTGGATGTGCATTTTTTCGTTTGTTCATTAGGATGGGCCGTAGCGAGGAAATTCGTGAACAATCATGCAGTCAAGCTCTCTTACGTTTCTCAATTTATACTGAAATGCTGAGACCAAGATTAAAGGTTCTAAATGATCAGAAATAATGCTTGTATGTATGTTTTCGTGCTAGGGAATTCCCAGGGGTTTCCCCAGGAATGTGGAAGTAGTCCGTCAGTGTTTACGTCATTTCAAGAACACGGTCTCGTGAAAAACGTATGAACGTCAAATTGTGACGATCATACACTTATGAACGTCAATTTCGCGGTCATGTGACCGACCTCTCGTCTAATGGAAAAGCCGTATATCGTGTAAACTTCAAATTAAAAAATTATTGAACATTATAACAACTAATAACAGTACATAGATTGTCAGAATGTTTCTGATTACGTCACATTCATGTACATACGATCCCTGAATCAACGAACGTCCCCTCGTAAAATCCCGCGTACTGTTTTGCAAAAGTCGGTCACAGGTAGTGATGTCAACATTGTTGTACATAGATCTATTTGGTAATTTCTTTGAGGTGAAGGTCCTTGAATGAGAGTGCACATGATCATTGTATCATGTTGTTTACAGTTTCAGTCATGATGTACATTTTGCATATCGTTTATGCATTTTTTCACACAATTAATTTCACTTTGGATATTTGTCAATGTTCAACATGATACCATACGTAAATATAGGCCACAACATGTATGAACGAACCTTTGATAATTTACTGTTATAGTGTCGAAAACGTTATTTCTTTCCTTTGGACAAGTGTTACAAGATGAAGTGTAAATGTAACTGCAGCATGTACGTATGTATTTCTTGGGATGTATAATAGTCAATATTATAAGTTCATATAACCAATGTCCATGAATACATATTATTTTATAACTAAAACTGAATATATTACTTTAACAAAATGGATAATATTTTTCGGTAAAATATATATATGTACACATTTCTGAAAGAATTGTCTTGGTCTTGGAATTGTGTTTTATGTCGTTTGACACACAGAACAGTGATATCTAACGATTCGCCAGGTGCGCGCGTTAGTCACAAACAATTTACGAATTATTCCTCTCGTTTTGCATTATATAATCAATTGGTTCATTCTTTTTTCAATATTGTGATCACAGGATAGTAAACTGTTTATTTTATTTTTCCAGAAATTGTATAAAAATAAAACCCATGCCAGGTACCCCGTTGGTTCAAACGTATACGATTATCCTGATAATTCTATACCAATAGAGCTTTCTTCGCATCTTTTATTGTATAAGAAATATTAACATAATAATGAACAAATATAT